TTTCAGCTTGGTTTTTTCTGTTAAGCATTTTTCTGTTACGTTTTAGCACCAGGCTGCTCCCCAGGCTTCTAACTTGAAGGCAACATGCAAAAGCACATAAAAGTCTGTATTTTTATGCTATGTTCAAATTTTAAATAGTTCAATATTTCAAATGAGAAAACCTTCCTGAGGCTTTGGGAGTTTACATTACTTTATAACATCGAATGTTCTCCACTTTGACAGAAAAGTTGCATTAAATCCTCCATCTAATGAAATCAATGTTGTATAAATAATATATTATTCCACCAAAGAGCAAATAGGAATCAGATGCAAGCATCCCCATTATTTGTTGAATTTGCCTTTTTTCTTCCCATAACTGGAGTTTGAAGATGGAATTCATGCTCATCCCACATTTCATTAGGTGCTTAAATCTGAAACCATTTGACTAAAGGCAATCAAAAGTACGACCAGATTTGTTGGGTTTTATTTTTAAGCAGGGCAGGAATTTTTCCCTTTGCTATAAAGCAGTCAGAGAGAAAACCCTGGAATTTGGTAAGGTCATAAAGTAAATGAGATAAAGCAAAATATTAACAAAGTTGGCAGAATGTTCCTTTAAAAACATTCCCCTACACTTCCAATTCCTCAAGACATCTTAACAAGGATGTAATTTCCCATTTGCTCTCAGTGAGCAAATCAAACAGGGTGATTTATTATTCAGATGGGCACAAAGGATTTCTGAAATGCAAAAAGAAGGGCTCTAAAAGCACAAGTCATCAGTAATGACGACAGCCTGAACTGCCTTTCAAATATGAACAAAATGCAGCCATTTAGGGGCTCATACATCACGCTCTCCCAGACCCTCATTTGTTTCCTAACTGTACAGGCTGCATGAAAATGGAACCAGAATCTGGCATCTACTGAGAACATCTTTATCAGGGAAGTGATTCCACACCACGGGAGAGCAGATCAGAATCCCCACCCTTGGAAGAACAACCAAGGCTTTCCAATCACCACTTTAGGTCACTCCCCAAAAACATCTGTGTGCTGAAAAGAATCTCTTCTGAACTATAAACACAGTGAAAATATGACGAAACTTCCACTCCTATCCCAAGAAAATTCAAATTTTCTTGATAAACATCTCCAGCAATTTGGGCTCCTGATGAGACAGCATTCAACTGGAACCCAAAATCTCAGCTTTAGCTGGTGAGATCTTCTGTTATATTTTTCTTCCAATGATCTGTACAATGGGAAATTGAGAGAGAGAACTAAATCCTGCTCATTCTTATCCCAACGAAGCACAGAAATAACCATCAGAGCTAATGAGGTTACTCAGCATTTTTCTTCTCCGAGCAGAAAACCCACAAAGAGCAGTTCTCTCAATCAGCTGTTTAATATTTCAGCTGTGCACAGGTATTATGGGTATTAGACACATATTCTTAAATCCACTTTATCTTCAAAATGTTCCTTTAAGTAAAGAGATGTGGAATTAGCACTTTACGTATAAAGAACTGACATCAGCACAGGCTCAAATGAATTTTCCAAGCTCATGGAAAAGACTTATTATGGAGCAAGACACTACAGCAAATCTCCTAAATTTCTGCCAAACAAGACTCCAAGAGGCCTTTTTCCTCTGCATCACAGCCAAGCAGAAAATATCCTCCCCAAAGCAAGGAGCACCTCCAAGGAGTGGACTGCATGAGGACCTGTTTGAAATTCCAGCCAAGTTTGCCTTCACCTCAGCTGGAGCAGAGGAGCATATTTAACATCCTTCCAGTTCTGTTCCAATAGCAGACTGGAGGAAATAAATTAATTACCAATTTAGCCCAGAAAGCCAGGCTGTTATCTAAAGGCATGGAAATAACCACCTAATTGATGGGAATGAAGGTTCAGCAATGTAGAAATACTTGGTTTTAGCAAAGACTGAATGGCAGCATTGGCCCCAAGTGACCACAAAGAGAAAAGGCACAACTTTGTCCACAGCTCTCCTTCAAATCAAGTGAACTTCACCCTTCTTTAACCTCCAACACAGGTGGGAAGTTCTGCCATAAATCAGCCTGGGTCTATGGAATTCATATCCCTGGGAACCAGCTCAGGCATGTCGTGTTGGGACTTAAATTATGCCTCCTAATATAACTTACTTAACATAGATATGAAAATCCCACTGGTGCTGGTTTGTCACCCTCCTTCCCCACACTGGTGGCCACCAAACACCTGGCAGGTCACTCAAGCTCTGGCTGCCACACGCTTTTCCCTGAGCTGCATCCAAGCCTTCCTCCACAAGAACTTCACAGACTGTTCCAGAAAATGACATTTTAGTGTTCCATTGTCAGACCTGCGTGTTCTAGAGGAGAATAAACCTACAAAGCAGCTGCTTTGCAAAAAAATCCCCCCAGGCACAGCATTTCCTGGGGCAGTCCTTGAGCCAAAACCTGAGTGTGGGGAGGACATGCCAGGCTGACCCTCGCACAGTCACCCACATGTGTCCTCAGAAACTGAATGTAAGAAAAAAAGTCACGTAAAACCTGAAGTCTGTAACACCAGGCTGTGTGTGATGAAAATTTCTGAATACACACACAGATGCCTCCCTGAATTTATGACGCAATTAGCAGTGAGGGAGAAGGGCCCCTCACTGTACTTGTCCACAGAAAATGCCACCAAAAATCCATCTCACTGCTCTCCAACTCCTGCTTTTCTCACTGCCCCCAGAATTCCAAGGCAGGACTTCCACCTGCACATGTCACTGCAGCCCCAAGCAGTGCTCACTCCTTCCTGACAGACATAGGGAGAAAAGGCCAATCTGGGAAGGTAGGACACTCCACGAGAGAGAAATACATTTATAACCTAAAACAACTACAATTAATTGTCTCTTTTCTCTTTGCACCCTCTCAGGTTGAAGCCCAATCCCTCTCTCCCCTCTCAAGCATATCTTCCACGCCAGATTTCATTATGCAACAGTCATGGTCAGCATTCTTAAAAGCTAAAATATTGACAAATGGGGTGATGAAGCATTTCCAATTTCTCAGTGTATTTACTTCTATGTGCTGTTACAGTAACATGAAGCACGATAATCAGAAAACACTTCAATTTTCACAAACCCTGATTTAAAAAAATCCCTGTATACACCAATGGTGTCAGCAGTTACACATGAATCTGGTCCACATCAGAAAGTACTTTTTAATTCCCTAAAAATCTCCACAAGATGCTGTATGGTTTATAAGTGGGGCATATGCATAATGCTGTGCAAGACTAATCAGCCTTGAGACAACAGCTTCTAAATATCATTATGGAGAAGACAAGAATGATGTTTAACTGCTGCTTCTGTCAGACAGATTCTCCTTTCAAGTCACTCAGGATATCAAGTTATAGTATTTCCTTCCAGTAATCACGGGCTGGATAAACTCACATTTTCAGCTTGTGAAAAAGCAACAGCATCTCCTACCACTGATCTGTTGGCTCTGAGGAAGTAGCCTGTGTTATTTCAGACGTGCTCACCCTACCATGTAATTTTACCCACGTCTGTATCCAGGCTGCAGCCAAAAACAACATTTATTTTCGTAGAGAGAAATCCACAGAGGACCTGGAATACAGCAAGTCAGCACTGCTGGAAAGAAGAATAAAAAGAAAAAACCAACAGCATGGTGGTTGCTGTTGCATCAATAAGCAGGTCGATATTGAAGTTCTTTGGAAAAAAAAATGTAGCTGATAAAGTAACATGAGAAATGCTGAATGTGATCAAAGCGGTGTCACAGCCCCTAGCCCAGGGCAGAGCAGCGGGTGATGTGGAGGGCACAGCCCCGGCACCCTCGTTCAGGGATCAGCAGCAGGGATAAGGAGCAGAGGGAAGAGGGCAGCGGCAGTACCTGCACAGGTAGCAGGCAGGGAGAGCAGCGGAGCTGCCCTCTGCTGACTGCCTGGTTTGCTGAACGCTGCTCTGAGCCGGTCCTGCACAGCCACGCCGCGGTTTAACCGGCCGGGCTCTCCCCGCGGAGCCCTGGGTGACACGGAGCCCTGGGTGACACGGAGCCCTGGGTGACACGGAGCTCTCCGGAGCCACACGGGTCTCCTGGCCGGCCCCGGCCGCTGCGGCAGCACCGTGCTGCAACGGGCTGCTCCAGCTAATTGACTCCAAAATACACCCAGGACTCGAGCCAGTGCTTCTGCTGCATCGTGTCCGTGGATGCCCGGGCTCATCCAGCGCCCAGCTCGGCTGGCCCTGCCTGCTGTGGCGCGGGGGCCGTGCTGGAACACTTTGGGCTGGTCCAGCCGCTCTCATCTGCCATGTCAAATCAGGGGTCGCTTCAGTAACCCCCAAAATCAATAACCCTCATCGACATCCATGGTGAAGGCAGTGCTGTGATAGTGGAACCTGCTGGCACCTGGGCTAGGAGACTTTCCTACTGGAAAGTATTTAGTGAACAGCAAAACTCCTGGGAACCTCTGAATGAAACACGGACCCGACGCTTCCCAACTCGGACCAATTCTCATGCTTCTCATGGCATTTTCTGTCTAGCACTCAGGTAAAATACACACGACCTATTTAACTTCCAACTTTTTTTCTTTTTTCATCATTGCTAGACCCTCATTGCAAAATGAGGGAAAAGGAGGAGATGTGATTCAAGTTTTACGCAGATTATCACGTTTATCAATCTCCTCTGCCAAACTGCTTCGCTCCAAACTCGCGTCCATTTTATACAAGGTTTAAAAGCAAATGGGAGCAGCTACTCCTTTAGCACCTTAAACACTTTCCCTCCCAATAAAAGGCAGCCGTGTAGCTTTAACCCAGCGCTTCGCTGAAATTCCCAATGGATCAGCATCACCCACTCTGCGGCTGCTCCATCGCTCCCGTAGCGCGACTGGAAACCTGGGCTGCGCGGGGACGGTGTGCACGGCTCTGTTATTAATGAACCCCCGCGCAGGGGAACCAGAGCAATAACGAAACCTTCCCAGCCAGCCTGCGAGCGCCAGCTCCGCGCTTCTCCCCTCCTTGTGGGCTGGGGGACGCCCGCCGGTCCCGCTCAACAAGTTCCCCTCGGCGGGGACCCGGCCGAGGGGACCCCCCGACAGCGAGCCCCCGCCGCAGCCCATGAGGGCAGCGGGGGAGCGCGGCGGCGGCGGCGGCTGCGGCTCCTCCGGCGGCTCGGCGGCTCCGCGGCAGATGCGCCCCGGCGCCCAGGCTCTGACGCCCAGCTCGCCCCGGCGGCTGGAGGGAGATGCTCGCCCAGACCGCCGCTTCTGCGTGAGGAAGCACAAGGTAAGTAAGGCGCTGACCGCTCGCCCCGACCCCAAGAAATTCCCCGTCCGCTGGTTCTGCCGGCGGAAAACTTCGTAGGGATGAGGAGAAAGGCTGGCGCTGAGCGCCAGCGTTATGCAATAGCGTATGTGCCTGCCTGCGAACAGCTCCTGCATCCAATAACTTTCGTGACAGATAAGGAGAGAATATCCCGATACGCGACTTTCTTCTAGAAAAATACCAGCGTTTCTTTGCCTGCTCCCCCTTCCAGCGGTGCCTGGTAGGGGAGAGGGGTAGCTTGAGGATTTTTGGAGGATGCACGAAGTGCTTTGGCTTTTCACATGGCTGATGGCGAGGAACTACCGCTGCTTATTAACTTCAGCCGTCCTAATGAAGTGTCCGTACAGCGGCGATGGAGGAACACGGGATGTGTTCATCCCTGAACTTGCAGTACGGCACTTCATTAAAAGCCCAACCAACCCAAAAATCCTCCTCGAGGACTGAAGCTGCTGCTATTCAGTGAAGTGTGCAGGGTTCTCCCGTTTTAACACACTCGCGTCCCCCATCACCATCACCGACCACACAGAAATCGGGGATGCCGTGGAAACGCCGTAGGAAAACGGGACAGAAGGGAGCAGGGAACCATCCCCAAAGTCACAGTCCTTGCATCCTTCAAGGCATCCCGAGCTTCCCGCTCTGCAATTCCATCGTGCCTCCCTCGCTAGTAAAATCCCTGTGCCGTGACCTCAGCGCCTGTTAATGCCATGTTTACGGGGAGTTACGGCAGCGAGGGGATGCAGGACTGCAGTTCCATGGGATCTGCCCGGGGGAGGCGGGGGGGCCGCCGGCCCCGGCAAAACAGGGACAGCTTGCACTGCTGGGAGCGGGGAATATATTCCCTGCTTATGTCACCGTCTCCCGAGGGCTCTGTCCCAAGGGAGCTGTGCCCCCCTCTCAGCTGCGAGTCGGAATAGGGAATGGAGCGCTTTGCTTTGACCTTGTGTGTCTAAGCAGCTTAAAATCCTGCACGGAGGAGAATTTAACTCATTAGGCTCTAGGACCTGTTTTTCCCAGCCTCGGAGAATCATTTCTTTTTCCCCCAGCTGAATGCTGGCAAGTGCAAAGGGAAGGAAAACCAGTAACAGGTCACGTCTGATATAAAGTGGGAATTTATTCCCTCCTCTTAAGTGCAGGATCGTGCTCGGATTTAGCGGGCTGCCAGGAATGCTGCATGTATCAAGGTTAATATCTGGCTTCTAGATGGAAAAACTCCTAGCTCAAAATAAATAAATAAATAAAATAATCACATGATATGCAACTATGTCCTAGCCATGGACTGGGATTAATTTAATGTCAAATTCCAAGGCAACAGACCAATAGTAAAACTAGGAAATCAGGGAGAGGAATGGATCTCCTCACTCTTGGTGCTCCACCAGCCTGCTCGTGCCTGGCTGTCTGGACTACAACGATCTGCTCCCTCCGAGTACAAATAACAGTTCTAAGTTAAAAGCTGGGTCCTTCTCCTGGCATTAAAAATTCATATTTAAATGAAAATATCTCAGGGCTCAGATATTACTAATTTATCACCTAGAGGGTGATATTCTGCTAAACAGTGGTGGCATAGGGTCCCTGATTCCAGGAGAAATCCATAATGTAGATTGCTAATCCAGACACTCAGACGGAATCGTTCTAATTCCAACAGTTTTAAAATAAAATTCCTGCCCGAGAGTTTAAGGTGCTGTTGCACTGAAAGCAACCTCCCTTCACATGATGGGGAAAGCTGACACTAAATCAGCTTTTTTTAGGGCTTTTTTGTAAGGATGTCATGATGCCCTTGATGAAAAATATTTGTTCTTTAGGACTCCGTCATTATTAATGATGTGTGTTTTTAACGAGATGCTCGAGATAATTCTAATCCTGGATGGAATCAGGGCTTTTCCCTGGGACTGACACATACAAAACCACAAGATAAAGTGTTCGGTTCCTTATTGAGAGGGCCAGCACTTAGCATTCAATGCACCCTAGTATTAACTGAGCTCACAAACAAGGAGCTCATAGGATCCTTGCTGCTTTTTCCCCCAGTTAACCACTGCACTGACAGAGCATTTCTGCATGAGGGGCACACACTGCACATTCTATATTCTAATCTAGATATAATTAACTCAGCAAAAAGAGCGGTAAGTTCAGTGCAGAGGAGCACAGGGAAGGAGAACGTGGTGAAGGAGCCCCGGAGCTGCCCAAGTGCCGAGTCACGGAGCGTGCGTCACCTCGCAGACCAGACACCACTGGTCACCACCAGGACACTGCCTGGGAACCCAAAAACCCAAACTCAGCCAGGGACTGTGCAGAAGGCAAGGAAATACCAACACTAATGTTCGCTTCTGCAGGATTTAAAAGCCAACTTAGCCACGCCATTCCTTTGCCGTGACTGATGGGGAAACCAGTCAGGGAAACCTGTGAGCATGCCAAAAATCCCTGCTAAAATGTAAGGATACCTCCACAGAGCTCTTGAGCTGTGATGTCTCAAGGCCATTCCTTACCCGAGCACAGGACAGGGAGAACTAGGGATGTATAGTCCCATAATTCATGCCCACTTGAAGAAATGACAGCAAATCTAGAATATCTGAGCCCATAAAAAATTCACGTGATTATCTGAACTAGCTATTAATAAAAAGCTCTTATATTCTACTTTATGACAGGCACGGTTTAAAGAACTGCCGAAAATTTGTCTGAGATATTAAAAAACATGTAAGCAACAAATCTATTTTATAGCTCAGTACTCCCCTGTATTTTAACTAATCAGTTTGCAAATTAAATAGGCTTTCTGAAAATGAAATCATGAGCATATTTTAAGGAAAAAATCATCTCAGAGTGATAAATTCAGTGGGAGCTCCACATTGAGCCTTATGAAAACTGGTGCTTGCTTAGAAAATTCTGAATAACCTCTGAACACACACAGGTACAACTCCCTGGGTATTCACCCTTGATTTTAAATTGTTATTGACCATACAGAAATTTGCTCAGAGCATTCTCTTATTGTAGTGGCACATCCCCATCTGAAGGCTGTTTACTCCAATTTTACTACATTTAGGCAGAAAAGTGATCCCTTAATACTCCTGAAGCAGTTCACTCTGTTCATGCTTTTGCATGAAAAACTGCTGAAAACTGTTTCCCATTAAGACATCCCAGCACAAGTCTCCCAGGCAAAGAGAACTGCGTGTAAAAACAACAACTCAGTGGTCAATCAGCAACATTTGGTGTCCTCTTTGTGTTTTTCTCCCCCTTTAGTGACACAAGACACCAAGCCTGATTTTACTCCAGTTTTTCCAGCTAAATCCACTGGGTTTGATACGGAGCAGTGTAGAGGAGTAAGGGCCATTTTCAAAGTCTGAATTAAACAGAGATGGATTAAAAAGACTGAAGACCTTCAAGTCTTGCTATGTTTAGGTGCAGATCCAAACTTCTACATCATAACAACAGATTTCTGTCCTGACAGGGAAGTGCTGGAGCGCTACCGTGTCCCTCTCCCCAGAGTTGCTGATTTCTGGTCTCAGACTCAGCCTGTATCAAAAAATAGTTATTAAACATCTCAGAAACCCCAGGTTTAACTCATGTTTGTGACATCCATGGGCAGGAGAAGCAGGTTGCTGCTGTTATTTTTGCCTGCCCATGATTGCTGGAGCAAGCCTATAAATAAAGCCCACGTAGATACCGAATTAAACCAGTTTAAAAACAAAAGCAGAGGAAGCTTTTTCCATCTGGTCTGAGCAAGCAGGAATTGTCACAAGCTCACCAAAAAAAAAGGAGTTACTTGTTTTGGGCTCTTGCCCACCTTCCCTGCTTGTTTTACAGCTGCCCTTCTCTCCTCTTCCATTTTTTTTCCCAATTCTCATGTCAAGGTTGTGATGGCATTGCTTGGAACAATTTTGGGGAGGTCAAAGCTTATAAAGCCCAGCCATGGTGTAAATGACTTTTTAAAAGCTGGAACAGGGGCTTTCTGATGCCCAAGACAAACCTGTTTAAGCAAGTGTGTGAATTCAGGACTGTATTTTAAAAGTTCATAACACAAGTAGTTTTGGTCTGGTTAGTTACTTTCTGGGAGAAGGAAGAAGAGGGAATTCAGTAAAATCCTTAATTTTGGTGTATTTATCTATGAATAAGCACAAAACCTACAACAAGCCCAAAGTCTCCTTCCCACCATTAGTAACTGGTTGCTCATACCCATTTTGTTATTACATTCATTATTCTCTCCTGCAAACAGAGAAGAGAAATCAATGAGGAGATATCCATGAGTACAGAAATTTAACTTGTGGATCAGTTGAATACATTTCTGTGTATCAAGGCCATCGGCAAATAAAACACAGTGATATCTCTATGGAGCTGACAAAGAGACAGATAAAACATCCCACTGCTGGAGAGAGTAATTCAGCAGAAATTATGCTTCAACTGCCTGCTCACAGTGATAACACCGATCCCTTCTGGAGACCGAGCCTAAACTGCTGAATTCCAGAGGAATCCGTGTGTTTTTGTTGAGCACATTGGTGAGAAGAACATTCCTGCATTCACAATTTGTAATAAAAGCACTCAGAGCCACAAGAAAAGTGATGCAAATTATCTGTCTGGTGGCCAGTTGTGATGCCTTTCCCAGCCAAAAAATATCTTGAGAGGGTCTTTAATTATTACTTTAATAAACTTCTTAATCATCCCTATCACAAACAGCCCATCCTAAAATCCAGAATCACAAAGTGGTTTGGGTTGGAAGGGCATTAAGGATCATCTCATTCCAACCCCTGCAATGGGTAGGGAAACCAGGTTTATTTTGAAATCCTGTTCCACATTATCCCAGGTCCACAACACCTGGGAGCAACGTACTCAGCAACTCCACACTGTATTTGCTTCCCTCTTCATTCCCCATGTAGTTCTTCCCACATGGCACCAAAACTGTGTCCCCTGCAATGAGCAATTTCCATCAGCCCTCTCCCAGAGTCCTGCTGTTTGATGAGAACCTGGGATTTGGGGAG